CAACCCTTTAAAAACTACAGTGCCCAGAATTCTTTGAGGGAGAGGGGAAAGTGTGTGCACAGCCTTACTTTTTTGAACAGTAAGCACCGATCAGTAACAGAATAGGCTGCTGGGGCAGGTTGCGACTGTAAGGAGAAAGGCTTGCGACAGGCATTATCTATTGGGGATAATGTGTCTTGTCGCCTTCGGGGAGTTGATGGGATTAGAGAGCCTAATGGGCTGTGCTCCAGCAGCGCTGTCATTCTTATGAGCTTGTGATCTTCTGTTTTGTGTTTTTATGAGGCTTGTCAGTAGAGCGAGCTGGATGAGAAAAGCGATTCCATCAACACTATGTGTACTTGACCTTGGGCAAGATGGCTCAGCAAAATGTTAATTAGTTCTTGCATAAAACTAATTCCGCCTTAAATCACAGACTGGCTTCATTAGGGGATGGAAAGACTTAACGAGGAACGGAGACGGCTGTGAGCCACATGCGACCTCGTTTCCCGTGGCTCAAGGAGTCTCGTTAGAATCCTGAAAGTCTCAACACATCCTCCCAATAGATAATAATGGTTTTAAAAGGGTTTTAGCCCCCCATGGCTTCACAAATAGTTTAGTAATGTTATGGATCAAAACGTAAAAAGACTTAGCAGCCAGAAAGGCAAGTTGTTGTTGTTTTCCAAATGTAAGCTCCTCAGGGCAGGGGCCTGTCATGCTGTTCCTCTTTAAGCACTTGTACACATTGGTGGTGCTATATAAATGGTAAATAAACATAATAAACAACAAATGAAAATATTTGATGAATTGGCATTTGATTTCGACACCTGCGTCTCAGAAGTTGATACAGTACAATGAAAGCAAGGAGAACTGCAACGCCATTTAAACATGTATTTGGGAGCGGGGTAACTGGGTGGTTTTTGTTTTTATTCTTATTATGTATTTTGTGTTTTTATATTGTGATTTTATGCTGTAACCATCCTGAGACCTGTGGGTATAGAGCGGTATGCAAATAATAATAATAATAATAATAATAATGATAATAATAATAATAATGGACTTATGTATACAGTGGGGCTACAGATTTCTTGCTATGTTATGCATTTTTGTGTTTTTATATTGTAAACTGCCCTGTGATCCTCAGAGGGAGGGTGGTATAGAAATTTAATAAATACATAAATACATTTTAAAAAATTGGCCATGCTGGATGCAGATGATGGGGGTTTGAGTCCAAATGTTCTGGTCCCCTGCTTGGACTCCATATAAGGCATCTTCCTGTTTCCATAACCCCTGGCTTTAGCAAGGCTGCAATGTAGGCTACTGCTTTTGTTGCTGGCATCTGTTGCTCTGGCCACTTTTTGCCTCTGCACCTGCCCCCCTGCCTACCACTGGAATATGCCCTGAAGGTAACTCATGAGGAAATGTGGCTTCCTGGCTGAAAAATATATCCCCCCCCCGCCCCTAAGTAGATCGAGGTTATGGAATCCTGAACGGTACCACTTCAGAGGGAAGAGAGTGGGTGGGGAGAGCTGTTTGACTAGGTCTACCCCAGTGGTAGCTGGTGCTCATTGTGACTGGTAGGGCAGAAAGCAGGGAGCCAACAGTAGGTGGAGCCAGAGCCAGCTGATAGGCAGAGCCAAAGGATTACAGTGGTATGTTGGTTCTCAAATGCCTTGGTTCTCAAACGCCGAAAACCTGGAAGTAAGTGTTCTGGTTTCTGAACGTTTTTCAGCAGCCGAACGTCCGATGCAGCTGTCAGCTATTGTTTGTGGGGCACCTTGACCAATCAGAAGCTGCGCTTTGGTTTTCGAAGATTTAGGAAGTCAAATGGACTTCAGGAACGGATTAAGTTTGGCACTTTTGTTTTTGCTATTTATTTTGTGTTTTTGTTTTTGAGGCTTTTTTGGTTAATTTGTTTTTGTGCCTGTGTGGAACCCAATTCAGCTACTGATTGATTGATTGTGTGACTGCGGAAATGGATAAAAGCCCCCCATCCAAACAATGACTAACATCAGTGCAGGTAAAAAAAAAGACAATACTGTCTTATTTATTTTATAGTACAGTACATTGATTATTGCTTTCATTTTATCGGTCAATGGTCTTGTTAGTAAAATTCATGTTAAATTGCTGTTTTAGGGGTTGTTTTTAAAAGTCTGGATAGGATTAATCTGTTTTGCATTACTTTCTATGGGAAGGCACGCCTTGGTTTTGGAGCACTTTGGTTTTGGAACGGACTTCCGGAATGGATTAAGTTTGAGAACCAAGGTACCACTGTAATACTTTTGTCCCCTGCTCTTTTCTGTTGTGTTCTACAAGGGATGAGACCGAGGACTGGTTGCCAGTAGGAAGGAAGGCAGAGGTTGTTGAAGGCAGTGTCCTAGTTGTCTTGATGGACCATCTCCCACTCCATCCATTTGGCCAACCCCCTTTAAAAATAAGTTGTGCTATAGCAAAGGTACCATCAGGGCAGGACTTTCAGCCAGATGTCCAGCAGAATGAGGAGGAGGAGGGCCCTCCAACTCCATTAATCTGGGATAGTTCAGACAGTAGAACACAAGACTCTTAATCTCAGGGTCATGGGTTTGAACCCTATGCTGGGCAAAAGATTCCTATGTTGCAGAGGGTTGGACTAGATGACCCTCATGGTCCCTTTCGACCCTACGATTCTATCGCCAAAGGGCTGGTTTGCTACCTTTGGGAAGGAATGAAGCAACATCACCATCCCTGCTTCAAAAAGATGTCTTCTTCCCATCAAGCCCATCAAGTCCAGAGACTAAAAATACCTAAGCACTCCACTGCAGCCAGTGCCCATCACGTTGTAGTCATGCGACCCCTCGTTCTCTAAGCTAGTTATGTTCTCTGTTAAAGAAGCCCTTTCTTTCGCTGCTGGTTCTAATCATCCTGACTTTGTTTCCTTTGAGAGAGTGAATGTTTTTTTAATTCTCTCTCTCCCCCCTGCCCTTGTGATCACAGAGAGCTGGATCTCGCTGCTCATAGCAATCTCTCCCTCCCCCCCACTCTAGTCTACAGCTTTGTGCATTTACCGGTGCTATCCTGCAAAAACCACCAATGGAAGACACCAACTGCAACAGGGTTTTTAATTTTCCCAAGCCCTGCAGGCTCTTTAGCTGCAGGGCGCCTCCAGACTGTCAGACCAGAACATTAGGTTTGCGCAGTTAAAAGTGGATTAAAGCACTCTGTTGCCTTGGAGAAATAAATCAGCTTCTTTCTCTTCTTTTAAATGGACCTTCTGCAGGTTGGAAAGTGACATGGAAACGCCTTGAAAAGGGTGGGACGAATGAATGAGAGAGGAAGGCGTGCAATCTCTCTGCAAACAAATCAGGGTAAGAAATAAAGATCAGATTCTGGCTGCATTCACATGGCAGGTTACTACATTTTGCCGATGTTTCCCTGTTAATTCTGCGTTACGGTTTAGCTTTCACGCAACATAAAAGACGCTTCCATAAATATAACAGAATGTAGCACATGTTGGGTGCTCTTTTCCATGTTATTTGCTTCCAGAATATTTGCACATAACATTGAAATGAGCCTGCCTCTATCTCTGCCTGTCTTTGCACCTCTCTCATAATATTGCTTCCACAGGGTGTGCAAGACCTGAATTCTCCTGACTCTCCCAGCCCTTGTCTCAAGCTTCTCTTATTGGCCTCCTTCTTCATGGAGGTAAGACTTTCCAATGTCCAGATTTGCCTCACCAATCCAGTCTAGACTTTGCTCTCAACTGCACTTTTCCGTTTAGAAAAATAGCAAGAGAAAGCCATGATAGAAGTCTACAAAATCAGGCGCCATGTGGAGAAAGTGGATTATAATGCCAGAACTTGGGGCCGTCCAAGGAAGTTGAATGTTGGACGATTCGGAACAGACAAAATAAAGTATTTATTCACACCGCATAGAGTTAAAATTTGGAATTTGATGCCACAAGAAGTGGTGATGGACACTGGCTTGGATGGCTTGAAGGAAGAACTAAATTCGTGGAAGTTAAGACTATTTAGGGCTGACATCCAGAATTCAGAACTGGATACCAGCAATTGCAGGAGGAGGAGGAGGAGTTTGGATTTGATATCCCGCTTTATCACTACCCAAAGGAGTCTCAAAGCGACTAACATTCTCCTTTCCCTTCCTCCCTCACAACAAACACTCTGTGAGGTGAGTTGGGTTGGGAGACTTCAAAGAAGTGTGACTGGCCCAAGGTCACCCAGCAGCTGCATGTGGAGGAGCGGAGACGCGAACCCAGTTCCCCAGATTACGAGTCTACCGCTCTTAACCACTGCACCGCACTGGAGGTGAGAGGTGCTGTTGCATTCAGGTCCAGCTTGTGGACTTCATATGGGCATCTGGTTGCCCACAGTGAGAACAGGATGCTGAACTAGATGGGCCCCTGGGCTGGTCCTGCAGCACCCTTCTTTTCTTCTTTCTCTCTTGCGGACCCCTTCCCCTTTCATGCTGCCGCAATGTGAGAAAAAGAGAGCACTGGGCCTCCAGTCACCCTGCTGTTTAACACTCCCAGTCCACCTGGAAGCATCACAGCATTAAAAAAACGGCACCAGTCACACCCTGCCGGCTCTCACACCTTTTGTGCTGTTGATGTACCTGGATATGGGAATGGAGAATTGCGTTCTTTTCCCCTGTTAACGTTGACCTTGTATTATTTCATCCTAATATTAAATTTGATTTGTTGACTTTGCCTTACGTACTTGTTTTCAGTTGCGCTGTGCATTTTTGAAGGATTTGTTTTTTTAAAAAATCACAAATAAATAAAAAGTAGCTGATGTCTCTTGTGAACTCTTTGGACACTGGGGGAAAGTGGCATATCCATTAAACGAATAAAGGCTTAAAAAAAGATATCCCCCCCCACACCACTCAAACCTTTTAAGGCAGTGGCTACCACATCATCTTGACTGGGGGTGGGGGAGAAGAGGAGGTGTGATTTTGGGAACTAGTGTGTGTCTGGGAACCACATGCAGGATTCCTGGGTTCTCTTTCCTAAGGGTCCTGGGATGGAGCGCGTGGGGCGGTAAGAAGCAAGTCCAAGGTCTGAGGTTTCCACCTCCTCCTTCCTCGATCCTCCTCTCACTTTCCACTGGCCCCTCCTTCCCCACGTGGAACGAAGGGGGGGGAGGAAGAGAGGGGGGAATACACCCGCCAGCCCCGCATCTTCACGCCAGTCTTAGCGCTTCTCCCTCCCTGCTGGGCTGTGCCGCATTCGCTCTTGGCTACGGATCGGACCCGCGAAGAGGAGCAGCTGCGTCACCGCATCGACCACCACCACCACCATGGCTACCCCCCCGACGCCCCTGCATGGTGAGATTCGCCCCCCTCCCACCTCCGGGGGAGACGGGACAAGGGCTGGGTGAGGGGGGCTTCCGAGCGGGGCACCCCACAAGCTCATCTAGTCCAGCCCCCCCCGCTTTGCCCAAGACTAGATATTGCGGGGCAGGAGGAAGCCTTCTTGGAAATCAGAGGCAATGAGTTTCCTGGGTCGGGGGGTAGTTTAGGTATTTGCCCGCCACATTACTATTTTTTGAGGTAGCCCGAGTTTTAGCCACCCGCTTCCTTCCAGAAGCAGAGAAAAATTGGAAGAGTGGGGCGCTGATGGGAGACCCCGCACAAAACCCACTCCTTTGCGCGTGCAAAAAAGGAAGCCCCGCTTGGTTCAAACGAGACTCGCTTCTCCGGGCAAAAACGAACCGGCAGATTTCCTTTGAAGGAGCCGGGAATCCGGAGCTGCTGCTCCTGCTCCGGAATCGCTCCGGAGTCGCTCCGGAGCGGACGGAAGAAATTCCGATTTGGGTGTCGAAAACTGCGCTAACCCTGTCTGCACTGAACTGCCCTGCTCCCTCCTTTCCCTGCAATTCCTTACATCAGGAGGGAGGAGGATGTGTGTGTGTGTGTGTTGCGGGGTGGAGTGGGGCGGGCAGCGCTTGTGCTTCTGCAACTTTGAGGCACAGGGGAGCAGCTGCGATGGGGAGAGGGTCCCACGGAATGAAGTCCGCGGGGGCTGCAGGACCATCCCCAGGAAACCTTGGCTGGCTTGGGGCTGTTGGCAGTTTGCTGGGAGCCGGCAGGTGCTCCGTGTGCGAGCGAGCAGCTTTTGCCCTGGCATTTCTCTCTGTGTGGCTGTTGCTTAACTGGAGACTGCAGAGGCAGGTGTGAAGCTGTTGCCTTCCTTCCTGCTTCCTTCCTCGCCTCCCTCCTCGCCTCCCCCCCCCGCATAATTCCCCCGGGAGGAGTCGCTGCAGGGGCTAAATGTGTGGGCTCTGTGTGTGTGTGTTTGCAGTCACATAGCATGTTGCCCGGCTCACTGCAGTCCTGGGAAGCCTGAAGTCATCAGCTTCTGCAGCTGCTGTTTGACTGACAGCACGGGGAGGACCAGGATGCTGCCCAGCGGCAGCGGCGGCAGCCTCTGTGCATCAAGGGGGTTGGATGCTTGGATGGAATGTGCAACTTTGCAGAAGCAGGGATGCTGCGGTTGTTTTGATGGCGGGGGTTGGCAGCGGGGTGGGAGAGGGAGAGTTTGTGCAGAGCTCTGAATGCCCAGTCAGTTGTGCTTGTGTGCTGCGTACACAGTGTACATGCCCTGTTTACTTTTCCCGGCTTCGACAGTGTTGAGAGTTGCTTGTGGTGCAGAGGTGTGTGTGTGTGTGTGTGAGAGAGAGAGAGCGAGAGCGAGAGATTGATTCTTTGCAGAAATTGTTGTAGATGATATCACTCACATCTATGATGCTTCGCATCATGTCAGACTGTTTGTCCACCCAGTCCAGTAAACTGACCAGCAGCAGATCTTCAAGATCTCAGACAGAGGGTCTCCTGCCCCACTGCCTGACCCTTTTTAGCTGGTAATATTGGAATCCGAACTCAGGACCTTCTGAATGCAAAGCATTGGCTCCCTGCCTGAACTTTGGCCCCTCCAGCCCACACATGCTAAGATTCACTTCTTCAGACACAATGCCAAACCGTGGTTAGAGAACCTTTGCCATAGTTTTCCATGAAACCCCCACAGAGAAACCGTGCTGTGTGGACCAGAATCAGAAACCATGGTTTGTAAGGGGTTTTCAAACTATGATTTGCTGTAACTGTAGCTTGGCATGGCATCTGAATGGATGAATTGCAGTTACAGTTGCTGTTTCACCTCCAAGGGCTGGTATACCAAGAAAAGAGAGTGCTGAGCAGACAGAAAAAGGAAAGCAAGCGAGCCACTCTAAACCACGGTTTGCCTGCTGTACGTTTGAAAACACAAGCTGGTTGGGGATCTAAATGATGGCTGGCGCAAACCATGGTTGGCATGAAGTCTGAAGAGACACAGCCTTCTTGACATCTCACTCTCCCTAATTTCCATCTATTACATTAATGTGCCTGGATAGCTCATTTAAATGGAGTATCCCCTCTATATAAAAGTTGTCTTGGTTAGGATGCGATTGTAGACAGGAGCAAAAACAGGTGCTGTATCCTCTTGGCTTACTTGTATAAATGATGTTGTCCTGGGTGTGTTAGGGTGCATGCTTGAGCTGATTCTATGAATGCCATCTTACCATTGTGTGTGTGAAGTTTCAGGCTAGGTGCAGATGGTGTGATTGTGTGTGTATGCCGTACCATCTGCTAGTTTTGTGTGCGTGCATGAATGGCATTTTCTCCTGGGTGTGTATGTTGTATTGAGTGGGTGTTTGCAAGAGGGCGAGATCTGTGATTCTGTGCATTTGAGTGCATGGCCATGGTATCTAAGTTTGTCCTGTACATTTGGGGCCTGGTAGTGATGGATGTTCCTAGTTCCCATGAGGAATCAGGATTGCACTTGGCAGGTAAACATACATAGGAGTTAAGTGCTAAGGATGAGACAACAATTGACAATAGGGGCATGAGTACATTCCATCTCCCCATCGAACACCCCACACCAAACACTCCATATGTCTGCCAGCCATGCTGTCACCTAATGGTCACACATATGGTATTACATGTGCTCTGTGTGTACATGCATAAGGTTCTTCTACTCAATTGAGTAGGGGGTAATAATAATAACAACAAATATTTTCTGGGTTGCCCCAGCCACCCCGGGAAGCTTCCAACACATAGAAAAACATAATAAAACATTAAACCTTCACAACCTCCCTATACAGGGCTGCCTTCAGGTGTCTTCTAAATGTTGTATAGGCTTGGAGCACCCTTAAGGAAACCTACAAGCCCCACTGCTGACTTCCTCCAATTTCAGCTAAATCATACCCCCTCAATAGATTTCTAAAAACAGAAGCTGAAATGGCCGTCGCAAAGGCTAAGGGGGACAGACTCTCTCTCTGCAATTGAAGCACTGCCTATTTTTGGACGATATGCCTGGATTTCTGGTTCTCCAGTTTTAGGACTCCCTTCCCTGATTCTTTTCATTACCAATCATCTTGGTTTTAAAACAAGAAAATGTTACCAGTACGTATCTTGTTTTATTGGTCTTAAAGCTTGCAACTGGATCAATGCAGTAGGCAGGGTCCATGGGGAATAGTTACTTCCAATCTTTGCAAACAACAACAACAACCCCCCCGTATATACATTCCCACCCCCCGCAAATGTGAATAGTTATTCTGGAATATTTTGTGGACTGTTTTTTAAGTATTAAATTATGGTTTATGCTGAGTATTATCTGGCTCCCTAATCAAATCTAAGCTCTTTTCATTCACTTGATCCAGTTTGTAGCTGTTAAGGCTGTTGCAGCTGTGGACATGCGCGGTTCGTAGTGATGTTGAATGCTCAGCCATTGGGGTGACAGGCTGGTGGGGTCAAGAGCACAATATCTCTCCTTCTCCATACATTCATTTAACATGGGGGGGGGGCATGTGCATAGAGCTAACTTAGAATGTGTAGATTGTTCACTGGAGGGTCTCTGTAGCCCTTGGGGAAGGACCGTGTCTAAGTGGTAGAGGATCTGCTTCAAATGCAGGAGGTTCCAGGTTCAGTCCCCAGCATTTCCAGGTAGAAGAGACTCCCTGATTGAAATCCTGGAGAGCTGCTGCCAGTCAGTGTAAACCAGGGGTTGGCAACCTAAGGCCCATGGGCTGGATGCGGCCCAATTGCCTTCTCAATCTGGCCCAAGGATGGTCTGGGAATCAGTGTGTTTTTATATGAGTAGAATGTGTCCTTTTGTTTAAAATGCATCCATGGGTTATTTATGGGGCATAGGATTTTGTTCATTCCCCCCCCCCCCGAAAAAAAATATAGACTGGCCCACCACATGGTCTGGGGGATGGTGGACCAGCCCACGGCTGAAAAAGGTTGCTGACCCCTGAGCTAGATGGACCAGTGGCCTCACTCTGTAGAAGGCAGCTTCCTATGTTCCCCTCCTCCATGTGATCCAACAACCAGGGTACCTGCGGTTTCATAAATAGGATGTTTGCCAGGTATGAAGCAAGGGAACAAGCCTCTATTACACATAATGCTCAAAATGTGTGTGGCCATCTCCCCTGTTTGAAGTGTGGTTGTAATACACTCTGGAAATGTGACTGTGTGGTGAATAAGGCATTGCTTGGGAGGGACTTTTGGACCAGCCGCCAGTCTGCAGGCGTTCTAGGAAAGGTGTACGTCTGTTTACTAGGGAAGGCGAGCGTACAGGGTGTGCTTTTGTGTGTGTTCGTGCATGCATGCATGCATCCAGCAGTCTGCAACAGTTCCCCTCCTCCTCGTCGTGATGGAACTGCCCTCTCTGCCCAGGCCAAGGTGATGTGCTTTCCTGCACGCAGGCTGGGAAGTTGGAGGGAGTCAGGAAAGGTTATTGTTTGCTACATGCATTGATCCCAGCCACAGAAGGTTATGTACCTGCTTAGTAACTCAGCTGCTCAGGGCCATTTGCAGTGGCAAACTTAAGTTTGTGTACTCCGCAGCAGTCAACAGGGAGAGCCAGACAAGCGCAGCTCCTTGCCAAGCGTGCTTGTATGATGGAAAGGTTTGCTGCATTCAGTGCTGGATTTATGTATATGCTAAACAAGCTATAGCTTAGGGCCCCACTCTCTTGGGGGACCCCAAAAAATTTAAAGGAAAAAAACCTGGATGTACATTTCCAAAATATAAGATAAAAAACAAATAAAATAAAACCTAGATACTGCAGCAGTGTTTTGTGTTGTGTAGGTTCCTATGATGTAAGTAATGGGCCCCGCCTGCTAGCCTGCTCCCTAAAATATCACTGGTTTGCTCATTTCTATATCAATTACTTTGATAAAATACATATTTTGTTATGTGCAAATGGCTTTAGATACTTATTAGCTCCATAAATCACCATATAGCATATATTCAACACAAGAAACAGCGGCAATTTGTTGTTGACAAAG